AGTCGCTGTTATTACATTGTCAAAGCAGCTGCAGACAGAATTCCTGGTCTTTCCAAGCTGTGTCTTTATTATTAATGCAAGAGTCTTTGTGCAGATTCAGCCACACCACCACATCTTATGATAGCCCTGAAAATGGCTGAAACTCTGCTTGCAGACGTGCTGCCATAGGGCTGCATTCCAAGCCCCGGTGTTCCTCATCCTTAGCATGAACATGAGGAAAGCTGGCATAAATAATGGCACAAACAGTTGCTTCTCAAAAGATTATCTTAAATGGGAGTAGGTAAAACCAGAAAGCCTTTATTGTGCAAACCTTTCCCTATCCAAATAATTGTCTTTGAAGTCACTGATTATTTGCATGAGTCAAGGTTGTTTTAAAAAAAGAAGTGTTTTACTGCTTTTCTGCATTGCCTTTGTTCCTCATTAATCTTCCACACAACATGATAACCTTGATTTCCTTCAGTCCGATAACTAGGTACTGTTCTTAACCTTTTTTATGGGCCCTTGTCCTGAAAAGGTGTGTGCATGACTGACTGCAAACTTCAAATTTCATTTCTTACATGTGTATTTCCAAATTTAGAAAATCAGAAACCTAAATTTTGGCATTGACTTGTTTGGCTATGTATTTAATTTTAAGAAATAAGGAGTTATTCCCCCCAAAAATATTGTATATTCCCAGCCATTATAGCAGTGTTCAGATACAGCTGGTCTACGTTGCACTTGGGTCTGCATTCAGAATGAAATCCCTGTGCCTTGCCTAGGGTTTCGTGTTGGGTAAACACTTCTTACATCTAGCTCCATCCAGAAGGAAGCACCAGGCACAGGATGGGATTCAGGCCAACTCAATCTGGAAACCTGTTCCTCTGTCTTGCGGTTGTTTCGCTCAATGTGCCAAGGTGAACAGATCCTTAGATTGGGATATACCCTTGAGGGCTTTCTTCTGGGGAGTGCGCTAAATCTGGGAGTCTGCTTTGTTGCTTATGTCCATCTTGAATGGGATGGCATTCTGACTGGCAAGCAAGTACTCATGTGCCTTGTGGAGGGTAGGAGGGATGGATGAACCAGAGAAACTTGTGGATAAGCTGTATTGCCAAGACTGACAAAGGCTTTTGCTTCCAACCCTTGTTTTGTGTTATTCCTCTACCACATTTGAGAAATAATTGAGGTCTAAGCACCTCCAGTTGTTTCTCTGTTTTTAATGCACGCTGTTCTGATGCCTGGCCAGTGTTGGGGAAACTTGGATATCCAGATATATTGCTCCTGGCGAAAGGTATTTTTTGGATGTACATCTGCACTTGGTTGAGAACTGTTCCCCTTTTTGAATCTGAGCCTAGGTGACTCAGATCCAGCTGTCCCCTTTTCTGATGGAAAGATGGAGAACACAATGTTTTGGTCATTTGAAGCAGGCTTTCATATTGTGCATTCCTGGGATGCTTTTCTTGGTTGTGGGAACAGACAGAACCATTCATCCCAGTATGAAAAGATTAGAGGAAGAATCTAGCGGAGATCTAGAAAATCCTTGTAATCTGTGTCATCTTGGAAAAGGAAGAAAAACAAAACAAGCAGAGCTGGTGGCCCTGGAGTATCCTCAGGGGCAGATGTTTTTTTTGTGGTGGGTTTTTTTTTTTGTTTGTTTTTGTTTTTTTTTCCTACAGTGTGCCTGGAGACAGTCACATTTCCATGAAGTTATATAGGAAAGCAAAGTTTACAGCTTGTGCAGATAACGTAGGGAGTAAGAAAGAGAAAATATCTCATGTTTCTTATTCCACATGTGGCATCATATTTGCCTGTGTTCACTGTCTACTGCTGGAAACAGATTTTTCAGAAGGGCCCTGTTAACAGAGCTTGTTGGGGTGCCGAGGGTACGATACAGGAGCTCAGGGCAAGTTGTTGTCTCTAATGGAAGAGGGCAGCGCCCTGTGGAGATGCTCGCCTGTGTCCCAGGCCGAGGATATTTCTGCAGCACAAAAGCTTCATCACTTGGTTGGGAGCTAACTTGGGACTTGGGTGGCTCAGGGCAGCATTGCTCTGGGTGGTGAAGATGATCTAATGGTGTAATTTTAACTTCCTAAAAATCTGCTCATAGTTGAAGTGGAGAACTAGTGACACAGAAGGAGTATCTGTCCCTAGCAGCAGGCAGAAACTTCTTTAAAAATGTCCCAGATGCTTGTTTTTATCTATGTATTTCTGAAGAGCTGCATTTATAGTAAAATTTTCCCAAGTTCATCCTCATTTCCCTGTGTGATAATGAGCGTGCAGGTATATGCTAAGGCAGTCATCCCTGTTTCCTGGCTTTGGTCATTCTAGAGCTCTTGGAGATGCGAACAAACTTTAGAGCTAACCCCCCCTCAGACTTCCCTGGCCAGGCACGCAGGGGTATCTGGCTGTGATGCAGGGAGGTACTTGAGAAGTTTTTGAATCTGGTGTGTGGCGTGGAGTGGAGACCCCGGTGCATGTGGCTGTGAATTAGTTGTGGTGATTGCATTTCAGTATAAAAGCAGCTATCTGTTTGGAGGGTAGCTTAATTAGCAGCCTGTGGAGTTCGTTTGTTTTTTAGCGTAGTATTTTGAAAGCAAATGTGTTTGCATAAAGGTTTCTGGCAGAAATCTTTATGCAGTGGGAATGCACTTCCTCTTCTTTCTCTCCCCCTGCGTAAAAATAAAATCCAATCATCCTGAGGAGGAGCAGAATATCACAATATCCTGTGACTTGTGTGGCCTGCTGATCTTCAGGGATAATGAATCGTGGAGGCAGAATGAATTGAAGTTCCCTGTCTCTTCATAGATGAGCAGCAAAATAGAGGAACAGACTAAATTCACTGTCTCCCTAAAGTTTTTGTTGTTCTGGATGCAAAGTTAGGGACCCAGAGACTCCCTCTAACAGCGACCTGAAAAACCATAAAATATTTTTATTCTTCTGGCACCCTTTCCTGCTTAAATTCATCTCTACTACCGTGTTATCCTTCCCCTGTGTCCTTTTCTCCTTCCCATATCCACATTCCTGGTTCTGCTTTCATGTTTTATCTGGAACAACCAGCATCCCCAGCTTGTGTAATTGCAAGTGCAGCATCAAACCTTGTAAACAAAATATAAGACCAGGCGATGAGATGTGTTAATCTAGGAGGAAGGGCGTATTGTGAAGAGAGCAAACCTTCAGGTTGAAGGTGATGGAGATTGGGCGAGATCTCTTGGTAGAATATGTCACCTGCCAGCAGAAGTGCTAGAAGTCAAGTTGCTTTGTAAAAAATCAAAGCTAGCCCTGGGGAAAATGTCTCCTGTGAGATGGAGTGGGTGGGAAGGAAAGGTCTGATGGCTTGACAGATAGGAGGAACCAGGCTGATCAATGTTTCTCACCTCCAGGTTCTGTTACTTGTCTCCCTATTTTATGCTAGAGCCGGAAGCTTCAGCCTCCTGTCTGGCTCTGCGGCAGCATCGGCTCCTCACTGGCTCTGCTGCAGGAAGGTTCTTTTCTCTCTTCCTTAACAAGACGTGCTTGCTCTTGTCCAGTGTTTCCTGCTGCTGGTGATGTGATCTGAGCATCCCACTTCTAAACAGCCCTGACTTCTGCGTAAGCTGAATACACCCCAGTCGGTGCTGTCTGCAGGTGTCTGAAGCCACTCCAGGTGTTGGAACAGCTTTTGTGGGGGATGTGGGGAAGAGTTGGGGCTCGATACCTTGGGTTTTCACTCAGGCTCCCTCCCCAGGCTCTCTCTGCTGATCCCCCTTTCTTTTTTTCTCTGAGCCAGTGTGGGATGACTGACTCTTACTGCTGAAACACTCTTCGATGTCTCAGATATTTGTGAGCCCTCAGGAATACACTTTTGGAATTATCCTTGTGGTTTCTCCTCCTCTGTGTCTGCTTGCTGCTTTCCCTGGAGCCCTGCCAGCACTCCCCTTGCTCTGACCCAGCCTGTGTTGAAATCCTTACTCATGCCTTAATCACTTCCCTTCCCTGCTCTTGCAATCCCCCCCTTGCAGCATCTGTAAATCTTTGCTATGTTCATTCTCGGGAGTGCTGCCTGCAGCAGGCTGCCTCCTTCCTTGGCTCAGGAAGCAGGTCTGGGAGTCCCCTGGCTGCTGGCTGGTCCTTGGTTTGCTGTCCTTGCAATTCCCATCGCTGTTGTGCTGGCATTGTCCCTGGCTCACTCTGCTGCCACCTTCTTCCCTCCACATCCCCGCCTGCTCGGTCAGCCAGCCTTAGCTTCCTTTTGGCTGGTAGTCTCAATTTTTTGATTGTTTTTCTTTAGGAATGTTTTCACATTTTTTAAGCAACTTAGTCATTTCCTTTATTTTTCTTTTTTTTGTCATAAAACATTTTGCTTGAGGAGTTGCATGCTTGTTAATGCAACATCCTTGTAAGCAATTCAGAGGTTTTATTCCATTTGCCTACCGGGAAGGGTTATGTGACCTCACTAATGAGTAGTTGGTAGAGTCATACCAGGTTTCAGAAAATTTTTTTTCAGTCTTACTGCAAATCCGAGGGGTTAGATGCCCTTTTTCTGTAACAAGGTTTTGGTTTTGTTCTTAAGGAAAGATGCTGAAAGTCCCCTGTCGGACACTGGCCTCCTCCTTCCTTCCTTGGAAAGTTTGGAGAGGCTGCCCTGAAGTCTTGTGAAAATGGGGGCCATGCACCAAAGGTCTAGTGCTGAGGGTCATTCATGTGCCTTTGGTAAGGGCTCTGACAGCAGAACCGGGTCTTGTGACTTTAGCACTTAAAACCAGTCAACAATTTTGGTCACTCAGATCCCAAACGGAGTTTAAATTCTTGTTTGGTGGTTATAGGAGGTTTCAGCTTTGGTCCAGGACTCCGGGGTTGAAGTGAGACTTGTGAGATTGATAAGATGGGAGATGAAGGAAATGATCACCCTTGTTTTACTGGAGAAGAAATCAAAGATCCTGACTCTGCTAGGGGTGTGAGGAGGGAGCTGGGCACTGCTTTCTGGGAGCCTGTTCAGTGCTCTCCCACCCATTCTCTATCTGATTTCTTTCTGCTCTTCTGTCCAGGTCTGTGACAATGAAAGAAGAGGTCCATCACCGAGAAGCCTGAATGGTGATACCAGGACAGCTCTTTGAGACACTGGCAATACAAGCCTGAGATACAGGAGACGGCAAACATGCTGAAGCCAAGTGGACTTAAAATCCCCGGCAGGGCCGGGAAGCACTCCAGCCCAGTGGGACGGGCATCAGGGACCACGGCAGCTGCCGTCACCACTGGTTCAAAAGAAGGTAAGGACTTGATTTGGCAGGGGCATGAGCTGACCCACATGATTACCTGGCAAAGGCCTAGTGGTGCCAGTGTTCAGTAGGATGTGAAATTCCCCATCTGTACATAAATTGATTGTGAGCATGGATCAGAACAAATGTAATGGGGTGAGTAAATGGTGTCCCTTGTCCAACTAACGCACAAAACAGACAGGTTGTGGAGTGGGTGGGAGACAGATGGATCCTCTGGTGTTCAGGGCTGACAGAAAGGTGCTGCCTCCTGTCTTGCTTGTTTGTGTATGTGTACCTGTACAGACATCAACATTTGAAGGGCTGGTAATAATTAGGCAGATGGGAATCTCACCCCAGCCTTCTTAAACGCTGTCCTGTAGCCATTGCTTCTGGCCTGTGATAATGCAAGAGTAAAAACCAGGCACTTAAGGTGATTTGTCCTGTGCTGATTACCACAAATCAGTGCCTTTCAACAGAATCATTTGAAGCACTGCGATTTGAATAATGACTTACCTAGGCATACATATACACACATGCTTCACTGTCTGTTGATCTGTATCCAGTATATACATAAGCTATACAGACTGCCGTTATGCGGCATAATTAGCACTTCAAAAGCATTTGAGATGTGTTTTGCTAAGGACTCATTTTTCTGGTGTCTTTGACTGCTGGTTTGTTTTTGTTATTAGATATAATTTAGCAAATATTCAAGGTGCAAGTTTTGTACGTAATGTTGTTTATTTCACTTTGTTAAAAAAGTCTTTCCTCTTGGTTCTGGGGAAGAGCATCAGGATGATGTATATCCTATCAATCACTTGTATATTCAGTATATTACACTTTCATTTGAGAATGTTGCTGCTTGCTTCTTGAGATCTGCCAACCTCTTGTCCCATAATAATTCAGGCCACTGCCCACATGCTTGGTTACTTTGCTATATGTTTCAGTCCCCAAAATATATAACATTTGGCAGAAGCAGGAAAGCCTTGTACCTGTCAGACAACATTTTTAGTACAGGGGATAATACTGGACAAAATGTGCTTTAGCAAGCTATGACAAATTAGTCTGTGATAATGGTACTGCAAAAATGAGGGTCACCAGACAGTGCTGTCTCTTGCCAGAGTAATGCAGGGGTGTTAGTTGTTTAAACAAAACAAACAAAAAAACCCCCATCTCTGTGAAGCTTCTGTTGTGTTGGGGCATGTGTCCTTGTTCCACGAACACCCTCCAGTGAGAGGGTGGTTCAGACACAACCTCTGCGCAGGGCGTCCGTGCAAAAGCCCTGCTTGCTGCTGAGCGACCCTGGCTCGGCTCTGTTACTACACATCAGGGGCTCTGCTTTGCTCATGGATTTTTTTAGCTGAGCTTTCTCTTCTTTCAGTGACTGATAGTGTATGCATTATATCTCCCACTCTGTAAATTCTCTCCTTGAACGGGATTGTAAAAGCCATAGTCATAACTTGGGTTTTTTTGCACATGTGCAAGGCCTTGTTTGAGGGCCCAGTCGCTGCATGAGATCATGGGCTGAGTTCCAGATCCTTCGGCGTAATACAGCATTGTAGGGAACGGAGCAGCACTGCTCTTCCTCGGCTGAGGACTTGGCCCTAGATGTGGAGATAAACATTTGAATTGCACTTTTCTGTGGGGTTTAATACTAGAAAGACTAATTTCTTAATTTAGTATCCAAGTCAAAGATACTGAAGTCTGTTTGCTAGATGGAAGCACAAATTGACAAAGGAAATTCTTAGGATAAGGTTTATAGGCTTGGCTGTTAATTTGGAAGTTATCCCTCAGACTTGTTTCTGTATTTCCCCCTTGTTTCTCCTAGCACCTAGCTGTGATTGAGAAATGAATTTGAAGGACTCCAGTGAAGTGACTATTTAGCTATGAGTTGTTGAACCTCTCGGGGTGCTTCATGCTGGATTTATAATTGCAGTGTGGTGTGGGGTTATTTTCAGTTGATTTTTGTCACTTGAAAAAAAAATAATAAAAGAGGGAAAAGACCTGAGACCTGTCTTCCCCTCGGAGGCTTTGCACAGAGGTGTCTCGGCAAACACAGTTGGCGCGTGTGTTGCGGTATGAAAGAGTTCGTCAGCACGGATAGCCAGCACTGGGGTCCGACGCAGCCTTTCAGCTGAATGCGGCGCTTGTTTGCTGGAGCTTCTTTGTGCCTTGTTCAGCTATAGCCATCTGTCACTGTGATAGATGTGCAGCAAAGCCGGCCGAGCGCGGGCAGAGTCTGCACCAAACTGAGTTTGAGCTTTGCCTGAGAAGTTCTAAAATGAATTTTATTCCTGGAAAAATGTGTGCATGCAGAAGGTGAGAAGTCTCGGGCTGGTGGGTTGGTCCTGTGAGCTGTGCTGCTGCTCCTCTGCCTCTAGGGATGGCACAGGGGGCTTTTGGGAGTTGCGGAGCTGCTGGAGCAGTCACGGCACTCAGCCATTCCTACCTGGAAGGTGAGAACAGAGCACAACGGGGCTGTTTACCCAGCATATGCTAGGTGGATACCTGTGATAGGGCTTGCAGCATCATCTTCAATGTCATCCCTAGCATCATCTTCTTGCTCTGTGTCCTGCACAAGAGCTACCCCTTTGTCTGTGCATGGCCTGTATGTGCTCTTCTTCCTGTAAATCCTCCCAAAGGCCCGGCCAGCCCCTCGCTGCCTCCTGCTCCTCTCCTTTCCCATGATAATCTGAAGTGGTGAGCAAAGCATGCATCCCAGAATCCCATTGACTTGCCTGTGTGCCCATCTCTGAGAGCAGCAGCATCTGTGCCGGCTGTGGGGCCCAGACGCAGCACAGACAACCATGAGATTCAGCCCTTGGCAGGGAAAAACTACAAGAGAAAATATTCTTTTTTTTTTGTCAAAAGTGGTTTAATTCTATTTCAGAGCCAAGTGTCCACATCACTAAAATCCTAACCACAGCAGGCACTGACATAAACTCTTGAGGATGCCTGCAGCCAAAGGATCTGGTGGTAGATGGCCATGGAGACTGGATTTCATTACCTTTCCTGGGGTTAATTTGGTCTGGGCCACAGGAGGGTAATGGAGCTTTGCCCTGTCCTCACTCTTCTGTCTTGCTAACCCACATCATTCAACCTCTGGCCTTTAAGTGCATTGCTGCTGTTAATTCATGGCAGTACTGATGGCCCAGCTTTATCGGGAGGAGGCAGCTGTACGTCAGCCTGAGGGCTGTTAGGTCTGCTAGTGTGCAGTCGGTGCTGAGTGCTTTCTCCAGCATCATGGCAGTGGAGCCTTTCTAATGTGCAGAGGGACAATGGCAGAGACGGAGAGGCTGAAAACAATTTTCTTTTGTGTGTTTAATGTGAATGCTGCAAAGGGCTTTTTCTGCTTTTCTTCCCTCTTCTGTCACTGTCCAGGAAAGTGCCTTCATGTGATATATTGGTCGTCTGCTGGGATGGAAAGATCCTCTAAAAATACCAAGCTTTACATTGGGTCTTAAAAAGTTGCATGAAGGAGGCTGTATGCGAGGCATTTGAGAAGCCCTGCAGAAACCATGAGCTGTCTCAGAACGTTTGCATGAGCTCTGAACTGTGTCTGTGCACTGAGAGTGCTTCCTGGCAGACTATCAGGGCTTGCCTGGCTCCAGGGGGATCTGGGTGTGCTAGATTTTTCTGAACTCATGTGTTGCCTCCACACTTACCTGCCTCTTGCCAGAAATGGCAAAAGAGGCTTTTCCATTTTCTTAGGCATTTGGTGAACCACCTGAGCCCTGCAGTTTAGTGGGAGAAAACCAGTGTGGTTTGGATTACAAAATACAGAGCTGCTCTCCGAATTTGCTACCCTGGGGGAAGACAGAAATCTCAAAAGCTTGAAATATAGTTGCAAAAGAAAAAGGTAAATCTAATAAAGTGCAACTGTAACAAGGTGCAGTCTGTTGGCTCTGAGCTGTCTCTTGGCTCTGGTAGCTGGGGGCTGGCTCAGAAAGACCACACACTGAGCTTGTACCTTCAGACTGGGTATCAAAAGAAGGTGCTCGTTCTCCAGTTGTACCTGAGAGCTGTCAGAGAGCCATTAGATGCAAATGAATTTTGAAAAGCTTCATGCTTTCTTCCTCTTACCTTCCCATAAGCTGATCAGTCTTGTCTGCAAAAGTGCAAGTAGGTTTACTTTCCTGCATTCTTAGTCTGGAATACACGAAGATGCTTTGATTTCTTCTTTCTCTTTCCCCCAGCACTCTGCTCATATTCTTTTGTAGAAAGTCAAGTGTCTCTCATCCATCTCTCTTCCTCTTGCAGGCAGTGGAGATGTTCCCTGCTAAACATTTCCATGCGATCTCAACAACTCACATGTAACAGAACAGAGGATTGATGCAGGTGTAAGATGCTCTGTGTGCATGTATGTATAATTTCACAATTCATGGCTGTAGGTTTCTATAGAGACCAAATATGATGTAGTCGTAGCATGTGTGACAAGCTGGCTCAGTATATCCTAGTTACTTTTCCCAAAAACTTATTCAGAGCCCCTGTTTCCTACCAGCTCATGGAGCGTCCTCTTTGAACTTCCCTAGAGTGTCTCCTACCTGGGACCCATGAGGTATAAGGGCTTTTTGTGGTGGTATTCTGGGTTAGGTGCCTTGGCTTGTTGTGGGTGGGGGCTTTTTTCTTGGTGAAGGAGCGTGGGAATGATCATTTCCCCTGAAAGTCAGTGGGGGACTGGCACCTGACATGGATTCTTGGAAAACATTAGCCTTGATGAGTGGTGTCCATACTGACTAATCCCCTTCTTTTTCTCCCATAAAGCTGGAACAGTGGAAAAGGTAAGTTCTGCTGCTTTGTGGTAACTATTTTCCTTAAAAAACAGACTGAAAATTCTTCTCTCGCTGTCTCAGGAGAGGATTTCCCATAAATGCGTTGGCTTATTTCCCATGCTTCAAGTAAAGAAAATCGCTGCTCTCAACCCCGAGTGCAAGAGAGGTTTCTGTGCGAAAGGTGTGGGTCACTTGTAAAGGGCTCAATATAATGTTTAGATTTCTTGTTACTTACAAAGCTCA